TTTCAATAAAGACAATGATCTGAAACTGATCAAACACTGTCAGATTTTCCTTTGATGTTCAGCAAAATAAATTCATCTTCCCCAGGGCCATCAAAAAACATATATATGAAGAATCCTTTGTAATATTAATATATTGTAAATAGCATATTCTTAAATAAACTCATGGGTTATGGCAAATTTGGAAGCTTTTAATTTATAATCAATTCGCAGTTTTTCATTCATCACAATAAGGTTTAAAAATAAAATGTTTTCCTTGGTGGTGATAAATTTTTCAACATTGAAAAACTTTTTAAAATCTTCAAGACTTTTTTAAAATTTTAGCTGCCTATTTTTTCTAAAGAAATATAAAACTCCTTATAATAACAAAATTTAGAAACCATGTTAAATTAATTTCAATCTTTTTTTTCCATAACCAGAAAGAACACCCAAAAAAATTTTTAACAAAAAAATTATGTTATATTTTAAATGGGACATTTGATGGTCTTAAATAGTAATTGACAATGAATTAAAGTTATTTTTCCAATATTAATTCAATGAAAAAGACATTTTTTTGTATGAGATAGACAGGTAAATTTCTGATTTTATAATACATGAATATATTTTTCATTAAAATACAATATATATATATATATATATATATATATATATATATATATATATATATATATATTGTAATATAAAATGATGATTCATATATAAATATTTCCTTGAATAAAAAATATTGAGAGTTTTTTATCTGGTAAAAATTTCCTTTTAACTTGATATTTTTTTTTTTTGAATTACATCTTTTTTTAAATAACTATATAATATAAAATAAAGGCTTTATATATATATATATATATATATATATATATATATAATATATATATAAAATATATATTTATATGTTTTTTTTTTTTTTCTCATTCATATTTATGTAATGATAGTATTGAAACAAATAGGTTTTTTTTTTAAATTTATTATATATATATATATAAAATTAATTTTTTTTTTATAAATATTGGTAATCATATTTAAATTTAAATAAATTTTTTTGCCTTGTATGTTTTTTTCATATTTAATTCTTCATAATTTTTCTCCAAAACTAAATAAATGTTTGTTTTTTTTATTTGAAACATTTTTACCTTTCTTAAAATATTAAGTGTTACTGATCCAAAAATATACGTTTATTTTCTAATATTTCCTTCTATTTTTATTAGGTTGCAAAAGAAAATTTGATCTGTATTTATTTTTTTTTATTTTTTCTAAGATGATATTCATAAAACCTTTAAAAAATTAATTATTATTTATGAAATTAGTATGTCTTTTTAATTAAGTATAAATTTAAATAACAAAAATAGTAAATATTTTTTGGAAGGCTCAAAGTAAACCTTTTTAACATTACTACTAAATGATATATATATTATAAATATATAATATATAAAAAAACAATTATAAATATTCCATAAAAATTTAAATTTTTATATTTGTGTTTAAAATTCCATAATTTGCTCAAAAAACAATTTTTATATAAGCAGAATTTGTTAATTTTTATTGACCTTTTTTTTAATTTCTATACAATTAATTATATAAATAAATAAATTTTTTTGACAACCATGTTAAATAAATAAATAAATTTCATTTAAAAAATATGGAAACAATTATGATTGAATGTAGCAAGATATCTATCTATCATTTTTCAGCCAAAAATATTGCTTAAAAATTCTCTTTTACCAATTCCCAATATATGATATTGATTTTTTATATGTATATTTAATGTTATCTTCTTAAAGGTGTAAATGCCTAAGAGCAGTGGATAGCAGAGTCCTTGTTGTGTAAATATTTAACATAATGTCTGAGTCTCTCACTTTTATTGATTGGGGATGAAATCATGTTATAAAAATAATTGTATGAATCAATGAAATAAAATTTAAATTTTTTTCATTTTATTTATATATTGATATAATTTTTTAATTTATAAATCAATTTAAATATATATTATATTTTATTTGTTTTGTAAAATTTTCATTGTTTTTGTGTGCATTTAATTTATATATATATATTTCTATATATATATATATATATAATATAACGCTTTATTTTTAGTTAATTTTTATATTTATTGTTAAAAAATTAAGGACACTATCAGATGAATATTTAATTATAAATTTTAAAAAAACACACACTCCATTATATTAACTTTTTAATATTCTGTTTAAGGTATTTTATATAAATTTTATATCATAAAATATTTTGATGTCACTTTCAAATACTATATATATATATAATATATATATATATATAAATATTATATTGAATCTATGCTTTCTATTATCATCATAAAAATATATCGTTGGCATTGAAATGATTTTTCTGTGTTCATTTAAAATTATTTTTTAACATGACATCTCTGATATTTATACTTTATTCCATAAATATAATTCAGTATATTTTAAAATATATATATATATATATATATATATATATATATATATATATATATATATATATTTATATATAAATATTGTTTTTTTGTTTTGTGTGTGTGTGTTGAAAAAAGTTTAAAAAAAAAATTAAACCCCCAAAAATGATTTTTTGGAATTTAAATTATAAGCATATAGTTCCATATATATAATCATATGAATTTTGGATAATTTAAAAATTACCATTTTAAAAAATGATCAAAAATAAATCACTTTCTCGCTAATTAAACATGAAACGGTTATCCTGGGAATTAAATTTAAGAACAAGGAATATCCAATATTTTTGATATTATATATTATTGTATCAAAGATAAAACAAATTGTACATTAATCTATAATTTGATATTGAAAATTACTATCAAACAATATCAAAAATTGACTGTTCCATGAATGCGTTTTAAATTTAAACTAAAAAAAATACATGGACATTTTTTTAAATTTAAATATTTTCATTTTTATTTATTTTTTTTTCAGTACTTTTATTTAATAAATTTGAAATATTCTCCTTTTTATTTTTACCACTTTGACATATTAATTTTTTAAGAACAGTTAAATAATTCTGATCTATATATTATTTTTATATTATAAGTATATATGTATATATATATAAATTAATATTAATGACATTTGACATATAGAGAAATGGACTTATGGTTATAAAGAAACTCAACAAACTTTTAAAATAGATAAAATTAGAAAGATATTATAAAAGAATTTAAAAGCATGAACTTAAAAATTATTCAAAGTACTAAATTAAAAAAGTGGACTTCCTAGATATAACATTAGATTTAAATAAAAATATATACACACCTTATAAAAAACCCAATACCAATCCTTTATATATACACCCTAAATCAAATCATCCTCCATCTATAATTAAACATATACCTTTATCTATCGAAAAGAGAATTAGTACAAATTTAGCAAATGAGAAGATTTTTTTATGAACATATTAATTTCTATAATAAAGCTCTAAAAGATAGTGGCTACAAAAACTAACTTATATAAAAAATGAAAATGGAAAGCATAGAAAGAACAGAAGTAGAAAAATAATTTGGTATACACCCCCATACAACCAAATGGTAAAGAACAAATTAGGACAAAAATTACTTGCATTAATAGTTAAGCATTTTCCTAAAGAAAGTAAACTAAGTACTATTTTCAATAAAAAACACACTAAAATTAAGTTATAGCTGTACTGAAAAAAACTTAGAAAAAATTATTAAGAAACATAATGCTAATATCTTGAATAAACACTTATACCAAAACCAAAAAAATTTAGAATGGAAAATAAAAATAAAAAGAGATGAAGATAAACAAAAATTATGTAACTGTAGAAATCCTCATAACTGTCCTCTACAAAATAAATGTCGCACGAATCATTAGTATACCAATGCAATATCTCATCTATTGAAAGTCCTGAAAACATAAAAATCTATATAGGTTGCACAAGCCATGAGTTCAAAAAAAGATTCAACCAACATCAAACTTCATTTAGGATAAATAAATACCGAAATCAGACGTCCCTTATCAAAATATTTCTGGCATTAAAAGAAACCAATAAAACACCTACAGTAAAATGGAAATTAATAAGAAAAGCTAGAATATGTAGGTCATTAAATGACCCATGTCCTTTAAATATACATGAGAAACTATATATTACTAAGTTTATAAAAAATAAAAATTTACTGAATCAAAGAAATGAAATAGCTATTATTTGCCGTCATTGTCAAAAATTTTCCTTAAATAATATTTAAATAATTTAAAAAAAAAAAAAAAAAAAAAAAAATCCATATTTATATTTGATATTTAATAATAATTTTTAAATAATTTAAGTAATTCTATTACATTTATTTGTTTTAAAAAAAATATAGTCTATTAGTAATTAAAATTAAAAAATAATATTTTAAAATTGTAGTTCAATACAACGTATTCTAATATAAACAACCCTTTTAGAAAAAATCTAAAAATGTTTATGTATACAAGCAAAAATTTAACGAAAAAAATGCCGAAAATAATTTTTAAATTGATAAAAACCAGACGACATGCATTGAACGGATGTCATAATTCGTTGAAAAAAAACACCCCTACCCTACCTAGACTTAACCCATTTTCGAACGTAACTCATAATTGATACAATAATAGTTAATAAAAATGAACACGCTACCGCCCCTGTCTAAATGATTGCATTTCTCTGTATCCTTGGAAACAAAAATTATGAATGTATGTGCTTTTGAAACTCAGTAAATTTAAAAATAAGTTATTCCAAAATTCGCTTGAAGATGGAACAGAACTAATGCTTTTATTTTAATATAATTGAATTTGAAGTTATTGTTTTCTGTTTTTGAAACATGGTAATTCCTGTGTAGCGATGAAACCATATTTTTAAATTAGTTAATTTATAACATATATTGTGTGTGTGTGTGTGTGTTTGTTGCATTTCACTCTGACTGACTCTATCAATAAAATTAGTCTGAAAAAGTCCTTTCTCGTAAAGGAACGTGTCATTTAGAATTCTTTTTTATTTTTGTTATTTGGCTACCCACGAACGATAGATAGATAGATAGATAGATAGATAGATAGATAGATAGAAAAGAAGAGATTCCGGTAGATAAGATCTCAAGAGATCGCTCAATAAGATGAACTTTAAGAGCTGCCGTCGTCCACTCTCGTCGTAAAGGACACTTGTTCATTTTTGAATCAATTTCTTTTTTTTAACATGAAAGAATCAAATATCAGTTTATCAATGCCATTTGATCAGCCTTTCTCCCTTTAATCGACTCAACACGAAAAAGACAAGTATTCTTTCAATGAATCTACAATGATAGGGCTGCTTCAAACGATCCACAAAAAAAGCTGACCACCTTCAAAGTGAATCGAAAACAAGGGTCATTTCTTTACTTTTCATTGGTCGGTTCATCGTATTTAATTGATATCCCGTGATGATGATGCAATTAACTAAAGCCCAATGCACGTTTTGTTCGCTCCTCGTATACACAACGTAATATGAAAGATATTTTTTTATTTATTTTCGTCCATGGACAAAGCAAATGTCTAAGTCAAACATTTTTTCTTACTTATTCTTTTTGGACTATTTTATATCCATTTCTCCGGAGAACTTAAACAAAAGAGAGAAAAGATGCAGCAAAATGAAAGCTTTACAAAGAAAACGTTTCTATTTACATATGTTGAAAATAGATAGATGTGCGATATGAGTTAATAATTCTTCTTATTTCTTTCATCCCTTTTACATAAACTTTCTTTTTCGTTTCATATTTGTAATTGCTTTGTCATCGAGGAATATCTATAGAACGATTTTTAATAGAATATCCTTTCGTGACGTCTCGAAAGGATATTGTATTAAAATGACCGCGGATTCCATGATTTCTTGCGAAATATATTAGTTTTCACTAGACTGGCTGCATATGAAAAACTAGAAGAGCCAGTCAACCCTGCTGGCGGAAGAAGGTGTAGGGTTCCATGCCTTTTCCTAGTGGGTGCAACAGATTAGCTCGGATTTTGAACTCGGCTTGCTGATTCCACTTTTCGAACCAATAACTTTTTAGGCCAATCGCACATTCTACGAAGCGATCGAAACTGAGGAAAACACCGCTTACAGAAAGAGGATCGAACTCACTTACTTAGGTAAGTGAGTTCGATCCTCAATCTGGGTCTTCTAACAGATTAAAAACTAAGTTTTATAGCTATCAACTTGGATGTCTACCATAAAACAAAGCAACTGTAGCAAATAAGTTTCGTTTTTTTTTTTGTTTTTTTTTTAAACTATTGTTCACCTAATAGAAAACCAAATTGAGCCACTCAAAGTATTACTGAATGAGGTTGTTCTCTGTTTAATTGATTTGTTTTTTTACGACTTATCAACCTTTTTAACGATATTTAAAGCCGAAATATATTTTGAGTTTATTAGAATTTTTTAGAGATAATAATGATTTTCTGATACAAATCTTAGTATTTAACCCATAGCTGGGAGGGGAAGAGATGGATTCATACTTTACCCATGGATATAACAAAACCGACTGGAATTCGAATTCGGCTTTCCGATAACCTAACTCCAGCCGTTATCCGAGCTAACAGCATCTGGTATTCCCGAGTAGTCACCCATCTAGGGACTGACCAGGTTCAACGTTGCTTAACTTCGGTGATCGGATAAGAACCTATGTTTCAACGTAATATGGCCCTCTACGTAAAATGAAGTGCAAGTTATGCGGATATGTAGGATAAGATAGTAGTGATCGGGAAAGCATCCACTCGGGAGTCTGTTTCACAAAGTAGCCAAAGGAGCTGTCTGGGTGGTACTTTCTTTTTACCAATGGAATAACAGCTCATAGCTGTAAAGGTCTGAACAAGATGAAGTCAGGAACATTTGCCATGGAAATAGGGATAGAGTGGCAATAGGCATGCAACGTTTCATATGTGGGAAAAATTGCTTTTTACAAGGTTGAAAATAATTTTATTGCTTATCCAAGAGATTGTGCGTTGTATTTTTGAACTCTATCAAGACTGGAAAATGAAAATTTAGCAGCAATGAAAATGTAATTGATTCAGTAGAATATTTGGCAATCTTTAACACAAGTCGGATAATAAGTGAAATTACATAAAAAATGATGTAGTTCAAGGTATGATGTTAAAGTATATCCGGAAGCAAGGCCTTTGAACAAGAGGTTGGAGGTTTTGAAGAGGTGGAGTTGTCCCCAGGCCCATTTTTGCCGCTAAACAAAATCAACCGACATGGAAGAACCAACATGAAAGAAAATCTTTCATGACATTAACCAAAATAATAATATGCTACAATTTCTCAAAGAAATCAAACTATATTCTAAAATATAACTTCAACAAAACTATAACATAAAACACACATCTCACCACCCCTCGTAATTATGTCCATATAAAAACATGTATATACACAGAAGCTAAGTATTATCTACCATGTATTCAACTGCGAAAGCAGGATAACAGATATCATATTTTTATTACTTCAAATCTCCCAAGAAAATTAAATTTCCGCATTAAATGACCCACAAACAGTCGATATGTTGTTAAACAAACAAATCAAACCAAATCAAATCAGTTATGGCAGTAAAGATAAGATAAATGTAAAGATAGAGCATAGCAGGTGGAGTCAGATACTCTTAGTAGAGTGAGTTCGATCCTCACAAAGGCCAATTCAAGTTCTCTGTATATTTATACTTATTCAAAGCTGAATGTCACATTTTGACCCACCGTGTGTCATACAAAGCAAAGATTGTCTATCATGTTTTATTCTCGACCAGAAATCAAAGAGTCACACGTTTTTCGTATGGGAATTTGTGTGAATTCTTCGAATATGGATATTAGAATTCCTCTTTTATTCAAAAAAATTAATTTATCCAATGAGGGAAAAGGCATTCGAATAAAAGAAAAAAAAGTCGACATACATTACTAAAGAAATCGAGGAAGGCATTGATACTTAACGGGAAAATAGAAACATGTAGATAATTTATAGCTAATAGGTAAGTAATTTATATCCATAGACGAGACGCATTCAGAAAGTATTCGACTGTTGGACGTAAAATATCAATTTTGTACATTTCACAAAATTTCTTTAATCATTTTCAATATTCCCCTAGAGAGTTCACAGATTTCGCCCATGAATATTCATAGAGAACTGTTCGAATATTTCTGAAGTGAGGTATTGTAATTATTTACATTGTTCGGACTGTTGTACTTATCTTTGTTGACATTTTCACGATGCTTCGGTTGCTGTACGCTCCGGCCTTCTTCAGGTGAAGAACCCTTTATTTTGTTCACCAGGGTAGATTTTTCTAGTTCCACGTGACATGCCTCTTCTGGATATCTCAGTTATCTACCTTTGACTCAACTACCTTTGACAACTCTTCGCGTTTTCTGAGGTAGCCAGGTATTGAATACACAACTATTTGGGCCAACGCTTTTATCTCTTGGTCTATGCCTCTTTCAGGACATCACTGTGTATGACATTTTAGGACTTATAAAATTAATGTCTCAGTAACGATTTTTAATAACATATATATAAAGATATGAATAGGCAAGAATATAGATTCATACATACATAGATATGAATAGACTGAGATAGATAGATACTTAGATAGATATGAATAGAATGGGATAGATAGATACATATATAGACATGAGATAGATAGATAGATAGATATGAATAGAATTAGATAGATAGATAGATAGATAGATAGATATGAATAGACTGAGATAGATAAACAGATGGATATGAATAAAATGAGATATATACATAGATTGATAGATAGATAAATATGAATAGACTGAAATAGATAGATAGATAGATAGATTATATTTATTATTGTAAAATACAATTATTGTGGCACATGGCCTAAAAGTGGGGGTTGAGGTTGGTCATCCTTACCTATCCTATACCTAGCTAACCCGATTCACGACCCATTCATTCAATACAAATAAAACATTCACCAAAAGAATTCGCCTTTCACCTTTTAGTCCTCCATATACCACAATACTACATCCACAAAGGGAACCTAAAAATTAACCCCATGCTTTAAAATTTTCTTATGTACAAATGTTCATAATATATATATATATATATATATATATATATATAAATATATACGATAATGAAGATGAAATGATGGGGGAGGAATCCTAAATCTCAATACAAAAAATATATATAAAACAGAAACTAACAGAAAATAATTGATGTTAATAAGACCCCCCACCCCACAAAAAAATCAGAGTTGCCGCTGAATTCTGTCATCAGACAGAATCAAGAAGCTAACTCTCTAACGGAATGGGGAGGGTAAAAAATAAATATAGGGCGGGGAAAATCAAAAAACTGAACCAGTCGAGATGGAAAAAGGGGCCAAAAACAAACTGGGGAGGTTGGGAATCTCAACTTGGATCATAACAAAAAAAAAAAAAATCCGGGAACAGGCCAGGAACGACACTCACTCATTTAACTAGGTACACAAAAGAGGGTCTAACTTAACCAGGGGAAGGGTTCACAGGAAACCGCCCCATTGTGACGAAAGATGACTTAAAAAAGGAACTCAAGGAGAGTCCCTTTCACACGAACTAAGCTCGCTACGTTTACCCACGTTTCGTTGAAATTTGTCGACACCAAACGTTTTCTATTAGTTCTGATCTTCACTTTCAGCTGAGAGTATCTGATCAGAATAGCGTTCTTGTCGCAAAATCCCTTCCTTTCGCGTCATCCAGATCATCATTCTTGCCACAGCTAGCAACGTTAGAAACATCATTCGCTTCACCCCAGAATACGGAGGGCGGACATTGTCGCACGCGTATGCGAGATCGATGAGCACAAGTTGATCGGGAGCGATACAAGCCGTCAGCTCGCCGACATAGTCCCAGAAAGGGCGTACCGGAGGACAATGTTAGAAGGCGTACAAAGCCGTTTCTACTAAACCAAGGTCGCACCGGTAACTGTCGGGCAAATCCGGTGCCCAGCCCCATCTGAAGGCCATGTCATTGAGAGATAGCACGTTTCGAATCAATCGCCAGGTAAGCGAAAACTCAGGGTTACTGAGGTAATTCGCCGCTGGCGCCCAAGACCAGAAATAGTGCAACTCGTCCACCGACAAGCCGAGCTGCTCACAGAGACGGTCCTTCGCGACCCCCTCCACTAATTCACGATACAAGACCTTTCGAAGCCGTGAAAGGTCACTGGACAGAGGAAAAGCCCTCAAGGGCGCTCGACACTCGCTGAGGAAAGTCGACAATTTCCCCGGCCTACGACAGCGCTTAGCTCAAGAAATGGGGGGAGTGATAGTAAGGCTAGGGAAGGCGTCCCTAACACTCCCCCACCAAAATCGAATCTCTGTCAAAACGCGGCGTAGGAAAAGCCAACCTCGAGGCGTGTCGATGATGACAACCAATTGTGGCAATCCCCCCCCCCCATGACACAGACGTTGGACACAGGCTTCTTTACGGACCTTCTGCTTGCGCCCACCCCAACAAGAGGGTGGACAACAAGCGCTCGATCGCCTTCCTATGGTCCTTGAAAACAGGAAGTACAGCCAACCGTTAAAGAGTGAGAAGAAAGACGTAAGTGGGACACGCCTCAGCTCTACGCTTCAAGGGCAACCTCCTTCCGAGCCAAGTCCAGATATACGCTCCAACCTTAGCCTGTAATTCCAACCAATTTTTCTCCAGCTGGGCGTCCGGTTCAAAACACACTCCAAGAATGCGGATAGGACCATCCGTCCAACCAAAGGGCCCTCGAAGAGAAATCTCCTTCCAGACATCCTAACCGCAAGCCAGAATTTGTTACGGTTAATCTTGGCCCCTGTGACGCTTTGTACCGTTCAACCACCTTCTGTACCACCTCAATCTCGCTGCGGTACGACACGAAAATGGATACGTCATCGGCGTACGCGGAAACCCTGGCTCGAGCCCCACCAGGGACAGCGATTCCACGTAGGGACGGACTGCACGCCCTGTCCCTCAGCCGGCGAAGGAGAGGCTCGAACGCCAAAGCGTAAAGTAGGGGCGACAGTGGGCAACCCTGACGAACCGACTGAGACAGCGCAAAAAAGCGCGACCGCTTTCCGTTCACCTGTACTGGAGCAGTGGAGGAGAGATACAGGAGGCTAATCCACTTGCAGAATTCGGATTTGAATCCGGCGGCCTGCAGGACAGCAGCCAGATACCGATGGTCGACCCTATCAAATGCCTTGGACTGATCCAAATTGATCAGCGCGGCTTGCTCGTTGACTTTTACACCCTCTAGGATTGTGCAGATCAGACCCAGGTTGCTCTGAATTGTTCAGCCCTTCACAGCACAAATCTGATCAGGTCCCAACAGACTCTCGGCAACTGACTGCAAACGCTCCGTCAGGATCTTGGCCAAAATCTTTAACTCTGTGTTTAGCAGAGTTATGGGCCTGTAATCATCTAAATCCCGCCCACCATCCTTGCCCTTTTTCAACAGCATGATCACACCCCTGGTGATCTGACTGGGGATGGACCCTGCCGGAACCAGTTGTTGAACACAACAGTCAAAATCGGCACAAAGATGTGCGACAGCCTCAAGTACAATTCATAGGGTAAACCATCAAGTCCCGGAGACTTGCCACGACCGACCTTCTTCAATGGCAAACAGAATTAGCCCTCCATGATTTCACCCTCGCAGCCAGCCGCTTCACTCGGTGAAAGCCGATAAAAGTCAGCCAAATAGCCGCAAAACGCTTCGTCACAGAGACCAGGCTGCTTGGTAAACCGGCTCTCGAAATGCCGCCGAAACGCGTCGCACATGTCGTCAGTCGACCTCAGAGTACGCCCCACCGGGGTTTTGACCTCACGAATGTAACGATCGGAACCTCGACGGATCTCTTCCTTGCGCAATTGTGCGCCCATGTTCACGGCTTCATTAGACATCTTGTTTAACCTATGCCTAACTACCTGACCCTGGTAGCGCTCGCTAGCTGCGCGCTCCAGACCTGCCTAGCTAAACCTATCTCTAGGGAGAGCCCCCCCCCGTCCAGCCAGGACAGACTTTCTTTAAGTGTCTTCACCTTTTTAGCCTTATCTAGTGCGAGCCGCTGGCTATATTCGGTGGTGAAGGACCTAATCCTATCCTTAAGCCTCTCCCACCACCTATTCCCAATAACCGCCCCACTAGTTCCCGCTGCACTAGTCTAATTAGCTGTTGCTGGTCCCGCCTGTCCAGTAAAGACAGATTGAACTTCCAGTGTCCAGCCATTCTAGGCCTAGAATCTAACGCTATCCGGGGACAGACGAGTCTATGGTCCGAATAGCCTAACCAGTGGAACGTTGGACAATCTAGCAGGTCTATATCGGCCCTTCTCACTATCATTCTTCCAGGTAGCTGGCCACCCGGTTAGACGGCCACTTACGAGTCCACGTCCACATCTCCCGCCCGGGGTGATCGACCCGGTATCCATCGACGAGACCGAACTCGTCGATCAGATCAACCAGGCTACGATCACCCAATGACCTCCCACTAGCTCCCCCCCCCCTGTCTATCTTGGGGTCCAGGATGGCATTCCAGTCCCCACTAAGACTAAGCTCGAAGAATCGACTAGAACGGACCCAACTGCCGAAAAAACGAGACACGCTCCCCTGATATTTGGGTGCATAAACCGCAACGATCCGAAACGAACTACTGTTCCCAGCAATATCTGCCACAATAACCGCCCCCCCCCCGCATCGACGTGGATAAGGTCCACCCTCGCATCCAGGGTACGTTTAACCAGCAAGGAAACACCTCTGGCCGGCTGGTCCACGTATGCTGAATAGACAACATAGTCGCTAGACAGCAGCACACGCGCATCAACCTCGCAAGCAAAGTGCGTCTCCTGCATCGCAGCTACATCTACACCGAACGACAAGAGATCACGAAGCAGGCGGGCGGCCTTACTCCGATCCCACAAGCCCATCGCATTCAAACTAGCTATCTTGAGAGACATTTTTCAAGTTGATTCCCCTATTCACAGACTGGACGGAAATTTGCGGATGAAAGGACCCCGATGGATTGTCCCAGGCTCCCATCTCTGTCGTCATACGACCATCTAGGACAAAATTGCCAACATCCGAGGGGTACGTCAGTTTTAATATCCTGTATAATGAAGGATGGAGGATTACTGGGATCCTCCCTGCACAATATTTCTGTAGCTTTCTCAGTTCCGGTGTTCCTATTTCTGCCATACGGATCTCCGGAAAGGCATCCTTCGTTTCGTGAAGGTGATCCCACATTATTAGATTTCGGCCTGTGCTCTTTATCCATGTTATTACGCCAGCGGCCTTGGGAAATTTCGGGGATCACCTGTAGCAAGTCCATCTATTGACGCCATCTTTAACAAGGGCTTCAACAAAGCTCTTTTTTTGCTTCGATATGCCCGCTTCTATTGACTGCTTGTCCACACAGCAAGACATTACCCCACTCGGGAATTTCTTCTTACGAGAAGAATAACTCTGCTGGGAGGTGTTGGGCTTTGGGGATTTGGAAAGTGGGGTGTTGAAAACATGAGTAGAAATATAATCGGCTGCAGTGGTAGTGGGAGGGGGGCTGTTTGATGAGGAGGTGTGTATTGCGAATGGGGAACAGCGGTTTTTTTCAGGGGGAAGGAGGAAGGCTTCTTGTGGTATTTTCTTCAGGCTTTTGACTGGCGAAGCCGAGGCTGATTGAGCCTTGGTTTTGGCAGATATGAATAGACTGAGACAAATATGATAAATAGATATATAGATATGAATAGACTGAGATAGATAGATATGAATGGACTTAGAAAGATGGATAAATAGATAGATAGATAGATATGTGTAGACTTAGATAGATAGATAGATAGATAGATAGATAGATAGATATGTGTAGACTTAGATAGATAGATAGATAGATAGATATGAATAGACTGGGACAGATGCATAAATAGATAAATAGATATGAAGATAGATAGATAGATAGATATGAATAGACTGGGACAGATGCATAAATAGATAAATAGATATGAAGATAGATAGATAGATAGATAGATAGATAAATAGACTGGGACAGATGCATAAATAGATAAATAGATATGAAGATAGATAGATAGATAGATAGATATGAATAGACTGGGACAGATGCATAAATAGATAAATAGATATGAAGATAGATAGATAGATAGATAGATATGAATAGACTGGGACAGATGCATAAATAGATAAATAGATATGAAGATAGATAGATAGATAGATATGAATAGACTGGGACAGATGCATAAATAGATAAATAGATATGAAGATAGATAGATATATAGATATGAATAGACTGGGACAGATGCATAAATAGATAAATAGATAGATAGATAGATAGATATGAATAGACTGGGACAGATGCATAAATAAATAGATATATAGATAGATAGATAGATAGATAGATATGAATAGACTGGGACAGATGCATAAATAGATATGAAGATAGATAGATAGATAGATATGAATAGACTGGGACAGATGCATAAATAGATAAATAGATATGAAGATAGATAGATAGATAGATTTTTATTTTAAATTTAAAATAATCATAGAATGTGGCTTGCCCGCGGGCGATTTTACTTTTGATTCAAAAGAGAAAACAAAAAAAGAGAGAGAAAAAAAAGAAATATTACTTTTAATGCATTGGCTGTGCAGGCAAAATGATAACTGCTACTTTAATCCTCATTGCTTAACATTTCATTTACTCCAATTTTTCGTCATTTACTCTTGGTCAGTCTGCGGTGCGAACTGTGTCACTTTGTCGGATATGTGAAAAACCAAGGTGTGTAAATAGACTACTCGAGCCTTCTCCCTCTTTTCCGGAGCAACTGTTTATATAACTGCCTTTATTCCAAATCTTTCACACGCTTACAAACCGGATGCTTCAGCATACGGTGACGGGGACTGACTCTAGGTTAACACCTTGATTCACCCGGCTTTTTGATCGTGTGGTGAATTGCGTGCAATGTCTATTCTTGGGTCATACTACATACTGAATTTCGGCCAGGGATTGAAAACAGGTTCTAGGCTTTGTAGGATAATGGAAATAACATCGAAGATATAAATAGCAATTGGGCTAACTATATATAATTAAGGAAGCAGCAGAGATAACAGGCAAAGGGAGAAAACCAAAAGCCTCAAAGCCAACACGAGGAATGGTGAAAAAGACAAACTAAACGAGAAATATATCAAAAAGAAAGAATTAAACTAACCAACAAAAGAACGAAAGAGAGAGAGAGAGAAAGAGAGAGAGAAAGAGAGAGAGAAAAGAAAGATGAACATTAAAAGAGAAGAAAAAGCTTTTAGAAAGGGAAGGGGCTTGAAACATGTTCGATTTGTAGCACACAGTTAAACAATAAATACTTGTAATGAAAGTCAAAAACGTGGATTTTACCAAAGATAAAGAGAAGACGTTAAGTATGACATAAGAAGACCAGACAAAACCTCTAATGATTCCAAAATAAAATTCCAGTACTCCCTCACGACTCCAATAGTTACGCTTGGTACAAAAGTAACAAAAATGAAATAATGTTTGCGTTTCAAAATGTGAAACGGGAATACATCAAGCGAATAGTAACAAACATTTTGAATAATGCGGGACAAGAATTCAATTAACACATCTATTTGCCCAGTTTATACGGCAAATAAAAGTTCCTCAATAGTTCAGTTTAGAAATAGTAATTTAACTTTATTAAAAAAAAGGAGGTAGCAACGACCCAATCTCATTACTATCGAACATGAAACAATTGTCAAAATCGCTTACAAACTAAGACGAAAAAAATCATCTACGCGAACAGTGATGAGGATGTTAAAATAGACCATCTTCTACAAACAATAAAACAACTTATGAAAAAGAAAAAAGTGAGACCACTTTGTATGGCTCTAGTTAACAATGAAAAAATATTTGACTCGTTAGAAAACTTAGCTGTCTTTATATTACTACGCGAATGGGGTATTAATGGAAATTACATAAAGATTATTGAGCATATACGAAGTCTGATCAAAAAGTATCGGGACTATTGTTATGGTGAAGACGCTTGACACAGATTGAATTTGAACTCAACCGCGCATACACACACATTTATAACGTTCCTGTTTATTTTCGTTGTTTATAACAGTATTTGGAAGCAAAGTCTGTCTCCACACATCAGTGACCATGGCAGCAGTTTTTGGTTAAAAGGTTTAAAGACTCAAGTCAAAAGCATAAAAACCAGAAAAATAATTTCATTCTAACTTGAATGCTTAATTCCCGGAGTAATACTAAAATATTAAATATTCCCTGGAGCGCTTTATATTTTAATATGACGTATACAAAACCTCAGGACTAAAATAATTATACTTGGGGGGATTTTTTCTATTCTTAAAGCAATATGGCGCATGTTTCTCAATTTGGAAAATATCATTGCCTAACCTCAATGTTTTAATTTCATTCGTGAATGTATATAAAAGATATAGCCCAAGATTTCGTAGAATTTTTCACAGTGCACCCGAGTTGAATGTACTATAGACATTTGCCGCTTACCTTTGTGAGTAATACCAGTTGGGAACCAAAGAGAAAACAGCAATTAAGTGAGAGAACGGTGAAAATTAGGTAATTTTTCATAGTTAAATCCCCGAACTTTTCGGTAGCATCTCAAATAGATATGAACAGCTGATATGAACAGCTTGGTTCTTTACGGCTTATCAACCCTCAAAACATTTTGAATTGTAAGAATACTTCTTTTTTGTGAGCGAATATTGCATTAGCTATTTTCGAGGGAAAATAGCAATGATTCTTCTACTATTTAACCTATAGCTGCAGGGAGAAGATTGGATTCATGCCTTTTCCAAGTATATTTGAGAGTAAGTGATTATAACGAACTCAATTAGAATTCGAATTCAGCATTTTGATTTTTAATTTTTAACCGCTGACACAATCTGTATATCACATAAAGAGAAAACTGAGGTTGGGGATTGAAGTAATAGTCTCATAGTTCGAGAACAGAATCGTTGAGCTTGATTGCACTGATAATTTTCAAATCAATCATGAATCCATTTGTTTATCGTGACTGCGATGGTAGCCCGTTCACAGTCAAATCGTTCATTCGTTATTGTTTTTAGTATTATTATTGTTGCCATTATTATTATTATTATTATTATTTCCTTTGATTTCTGTTGTATACACATTTCCTTGCGGCTCCTAACCAGAGACCTAAGAAAGTTTCCACTAACCATTATTGTAAAAAAAAACAACTGAGCTGTACTTGTGATTACATTTTTTTCTTTAAGGCATAGGGTACCAGGAATCTTTCAATGAGTATATTGGAATCTATTCTAACCAATCCGAGGGCTACAACTACAAATGGAATTGTCAATGTCCTTATGTGCCACATTTTTGGGATTTCGATTTCAAGGTTCTTGTATTTTGATAGCTTTTTGAAGATCTTCACAGATACATTGCAGTCGGCAGGGACTGCCATATTTGTCTTTTCGGGTCTCTAATCCCAATGTCTGAATGATTAGCTTTGATTATTCTGTCTGTGTGTAAAGTCCCATAAAATTCATATTTCATATTCTTTGACACAGATCATCATCCAGTCTTCTGTAATTTCCAGGTATCTTTGAAAGCCAATTGTTGTAGTTTTGTAAGACAATTCTAGTTGAACTAACCGACTGCCTCCTTCACATCTGGGAACATACTGACGATCAACATCAACAGTGGCAAGTGAGAAGCTTTCTCGTTTTAGTGTCCATTCGCTTAATGTCGGCTATGATCCAATTAAGGATGTTGAAACTGGCACAGCCAAGGTGTGTATGGCTGATATTCTGTTTTTTTTTTTTTTGTTGTTTTTTTTTTTGTTTTTAATTCCGCTCGGTATTCAATACCAGACGCACACACCTGTAATATTCCTTTCTTACCTTCCCCTTCATATGGGTAATGCTGTATTCCATCTACTTCGCTAATTCCTACATTTCCAATTTACATTGTACATTTCCAAAGTCCAAAGAATTTACTGTACTGAGATTTCTACCTCATTTCCTGCAATTTTCCAGGATCATTTTGTTTCTTATTAGTCGATCTTTGCAACCATAGGAACTTCTCCGGCCTTCCTTCTGTTCCAGCGGAAGAATGGTGTTTGTTTCGAGAAAAAAAGCAAGAACGGTTCGTCAGGACAGACGTGATCAATTTATACGTGGTGGACAGACATGTTATTAGCCTATAATTTTTCAGATCATCTATTTCCCCCATTTTTGACAGGATATATTCACCTTCAGTGATCCATTCTGGGGCTTCATGGAGATTATTATTATTATTATTATTATTATTATTATTATTATTATTACCCCCTCCTTGTCCTCCTGTAACATAAATTCAGTGTATGTAGGACTTCAGTAAATATACCATTTTCAACCACGTAATCTTTTATTTCCCTGTTTAAAAAAAAGTGTTGGTTTGATTTTGTTCTTTTCTGCAGAAAACACGAAAAGAATTCAAATAAAATCAGAGCCTGAAAAATAAAACAACCTATAATTATTCTCAATTCTTCAATAATTATTGTGAAGAGATTAAAGACTTCTTGGCTCTTCTTGGCTTTATATATATATATATATATATATATATATATATATATATATATATATATGATAAACATATTGCTTTAAGATATGCTGTATTTATGGTTAAAAATGATCAATATCAGAGACAGAATCAAACTTGTAAGTGTTAACGAAACTGTCAGTCGACATATATTTAAATTTCCCTTTGGAAGTGTATTAGTCCGTTTTCGATTCTTACATAGAAATATGAAGAAGCGACGAGAAGTGTTTGTCTTCGCGAATTTATTCCTGTTTGATTTCAAACATTTCTAAGTGAGAGAAAGAAAAATGTCAGACGAAAACATTTTCCCCGGTAGATGGGAATTCGTAGAGCAAGAAGAATAAAGAAATGCTGTTTAAATGTTTAGGAAAGTAACAGGTGAATCTCTGGGGCGTTTAATATTTTCCCGTTCAGAAATAAAACACACAGACGATTAAGCAATAAACATTTTTTCTCAAAGAAATGCTTTATTTTTATTTTTTTAATGGAGAAAATATAAATTCTTGGTATTATTTACAATTCTTTTTACTACAACTTTTCTTTCTTTTCTTTTCTTTTTTTAGTTCTTTTACAAACACAGTACTCTTCCTTTATTCGTTTATGTTATAAAACAACCAGTTGATGCCTGAAACCACAGACATTAGCAAAACCTATGATTTTTCCTAAATACCTATAATAAGGTTCAATTTAGAAATTACGTAAAATGAGTGATCGACTGCATAAAAGTCAATAAATATTCTGGAGTATGCAGTAAAAGATTAAGGAATTCAACCTCAACAGCATAAAGGAAACTGCAGGAACTCTTAGAAAAGGTAGTCAAATAAAGCGGGAAGAAAGAATTAACCATAAATTTTAAGAAAACAGATTTTTGTGCATTGACATCAAATGGAAGAACACAGGATGCGACTTATAAATTGGAGGATGTCAAGTACAGTAATTTAAATATCCGGGAAGTGTTTTAATATAGGAGGAAAAATATGTACTGAAACCTGAAGGTGAATTGGGAATGCAAAATGTACGTTTCAAATGCTAAATAAAGTATTAAGAAACTGGAAAATTTCATTATAGATAAAGAAAATGGTGCCCAATTGCTATTTAATGTCAGTGAATGCTGGACAGCTACCTTAGGGAAGACGAAGCAACAGAGACATGGTTTCTGCGGAAAGATTTTGAGGATACAATGGACAAAGAATGTGAACAACAAAGAAGTTTTATGGAAAAGGACATGAAAATTCTAGGGCGTATAAAATTGGAAAATTTGACACATGTATGATATATTGAAGGCTACAGAAACAGTGGTAAACAGTGGGCTTTGTGCAAGTGGATGGCAGAACAATGATGGGAATGGATAGTAAAAAGACAAATCTTACTCATAGTTACAAAGAATAGGAAGTTGTGGAGAGCCATGATCGTCCACATCCTGAAGGGAAAAGATACATAGAAGAAGAAGAAAATGAGTGATCAATAAGAATAAAATTAAACAAATATAACAATATACTGCCATTTTTTTTTTACGTCTGGATGATTCATTCTTACTTTAGGCATTTAACGACGCCAAACGATTTGTATTCTTTCCTTATTAAATCGAAAACTTTCCTTCAATTAAAATAAGCACTTTTGACGTATCAGGACTGACAACATCACTGCTTTTATGCTTTGGAATTTTTATTGTATAAAATTTATGAAGTGTTTAGGGTTGACCGCGAATAACTGAGGCTACAAACACGGAAACGCGTATGAGGAGAATGAGTATAAATGATGATTTATTATTATTTTTTTTTCTTTTAAATTTAGGTTATTGTATTATTATAGAAAAACCACTTGACTAATGGTAAATGGAGCCAAAGTTTTCGAATAAACTAAATATAAAAATAATTTAATCATTTATTGATATTGATGACTTAGAAAAAGGCTCAGAAATGAAGAGAAATAAAATTGCTTGTGTTGTAATGTTTTAAATGAAGAATTATCATTATTGTTATTACTATTATTATATTATTCTATATGCTTTGTCCATTTCGGACTCGTAGGCTCATCTTGGTAGCTATTCTCATAATGTTTCAGTCACTGTACCCTCTGCCTACTGTGATCTTCTCGAAATTTCGAACCGAACACTTTATTCAATCCACGGACGGAGTGATTAATTGTTCACATTCTGCACTCATCCAATCCAGATGAGCATACTAGTGCGAATAGTAAGATTTTGTTATTAGGAATAAGGATTATGTGTACTTGGATTTGCTCACTATGATACAACACACACACAGAGAAAGAGAGAGACACAGGGTGTATTAAAACTACTTAGGGGCGGGTTCTTCACGCCAAAACAAAAACAAAAGTTCACATAAACATATGTCCGCAAATTTTGAGTTATTATGTTTAAAGAAAGTTTACGTTAGATGGCGCTGTGTTTCCATGTAGACTAGGTTACATTTTTCATTCGTGTACATTTGTGGCTGGTCTGTCTTCAATGTTTAATGTGTGTAATAGTGATTTAACCGAGGCTGCATGGCTCTATCAGATTTCGAACCCAGACCGAAGGCTGCCGAATCATCCAAACTTTGCCGCTGTTTATCGTCGGGGTGTTTGTTTTGGTGTCATTAATCAACCCACAAAGTTTGTAAAAGTATTTTTAGATTGTATCTTGGATTGTACAGTTAACATCTTCTGTCGAAAAATTTAAACTTAATAACTCAAAAACGAAGGATCTGCGGACATGTGCTTAGATGGAACCTTTGTCCTTGTTTTCCTGCCAGGAACCCGTCCCCAAAGTTTGTAAAAGTATTTTTGATACACATTATATATATATATATATATATATATATATATATATATATACCTATGGTTGTAGTTCATTAATCATCTGTGCCTGATGAATTGGGTAACCATGAAACTCTGAGGTGCACGACAAAAGAAGGTACCTGTTTTGTTTACACCTTAAATAAATATTTATTTGCTCACTTTTATATGTACGTTATCACACGTATATATAGTTGCTATATATAATTATATTTCGTTATTTACTTTATATTCTATATATATATATATATATATAGAGAGAGAGAGAGGGAGAAAGAAAGATCACTTTGAATTGGCGTAATAGCAAACTTGTCTCGCTTACGACTGAGTTCGTTCCTCACTATGTGCTCCCTACTTCCGCCCTTGTGCCATATCTAAGCTATGCTTAGTAAATAATATATATGTGTGTGTGTGTGTATTATATCATAGTGAGTAAATCCAAGTACACATAATCCTTATTCCTATTTATATATATATATATATATATATATATATATATATATATATATATATGATCCGTATCAAACCAAGCAAGGCAGTACAGCCACTAAAACGCAAGTGGTTACAGGGTGTGGAGGAAATACGAACAGAAACATTAGTAATGAGTAGAAGGAGAAAACTGTAATCAAGAGGACAGTAGATAGCGATTGATATTGCTTTTAAATTTTTGAAGATTAAAGACGTCTTTTTGAAGATTAAAGACGTCTGGAAGTGGCGGAAAAGCTACATGTAGACATCTTAACTGTCAATTGATGAGATCTCGACGCTAATCTATGACTACTCTTAAATTCATACAATCTAGGTACCATAGCGAATAATTACCATGAAAGTATTTATAAAAAAACGGCACATAGAGACAATCTAACGGCAGTAGGAAAAGGATTGGAACCAAGCTACCAGATCAGGACCATTAATATTGCTGATTCTTCTTTGGATCTTATCAAGGAGCTCCAGGTACATAGCAGAGGTATATAGGTATAACCCACCAGACCATATATGGCAGCCATATTCTAAGTATGGATATGCAAAATAGATTCTGCAGAGAAAAATTGTCTCTCATGACACAGTGAACCAACTTTCTTAGCAGCTGATCTAGTCATGGATTCAATTTCATGTCAGCAGAGAACGTCAGTCCAGGAAGGCGCAACAAGTCACTTTCCTCCGGGCTAGCATCAAAAGGAACTCTCAGGTCTCGTACATAAAGAATCTCTATTCCCTATTGTCATTGTGAATATGCGATAGTCATACAATACTAAAACGCACAAGGGAGAATTTCAGCATCCGCAGTAAGTTCCTTTCTGGTTGGTTGCCAAATTATATCAATGCCACTCAACCTGTACTCAAGATACTGAAAATGTACTGACCACGCATTTTATCCCCGTGTGATTTCCATTTTAAAGTTATTGTATTGCGTTGTCCTACGACACGTGATCAGTAGTCGACTTCTCCAATTGTTTGGGTTTTGCCATAACAGAATTTTTCATTATAGCTTCACAACCCGCCGAAACTAGAAAAAGGTCAGTTATTTCATTTTTCTTCCCCTCTTGCGTAGGTATCTTTCAATTTTTTAGCTCTAGCCTGGATTGCAATCACTGAATCCAAGTTTCGACAAATTCTGATTCATCCAAGCAACTTAAACATTCTATCGGCGACGCCATAGAATTAAATTGCATATTTCCCAACCTTGTGTTTCTTATCGAAAAAGTTTGTGTTGTTAAGTGAAACCTTTTCGGCTTCGTTATTTAAGACAAAAAAAAATTCGTCGTATTTCGTACGAGTTGTTTATTGCGATTAATTTCGTTTTCTGCTCACACCCTGCTTCGTTTTTCTTCAATTTAAACGAAAAACCAAAATTTTCGGTTCTTTTTTTCCATTTATCGCTGTTTTTTTTATTTGTTTTGTTTTATTCGTGTTTTTCTTTCAATCATTTAGTGTGTTTATTCTCGACGCAATCTAAGGCTGTCTGTTCATGTTGTTCAATTTAATTGGACTTTCTGCAAAAAATATTTCCTTTCTAAATATTTCTTCGTTTAAATTCTATTACGAGACAGAAGTTTATAAAAATCAGAAAGGAAGAAACACAAGTTCAAAGGTAATGACATTTATTTTAATCGGAAAGTCGAATTATTTCTAGCAAACATTATGGCCATAGAAAATTCGACTCTGAACTTCTTCGTATAGAAAAATACAAATGGATGTTTCTTCTTGGACTAAAGATTAATAAGCTAGTCTTCTTCTTTATGTGCCGTGTTCCTTCAGGACGTAGGCGATCAAGGCTCTCCGCAACTTCCTGTCCCTTGTAGCTCGTAATAAACTTTGTCTTTCTGCTATTTCTTCTAAGCCCTGTTCCGCCATTATGTTATGCGTTGTTTTTCTCTCCCTCCTGCTTTCAATCTGTCCTGTGAGTATCAGATTTTCCAAGCCTTCCTTCATGCACCCCAGAAACCTCAACTGTCTCTTCCTGATGCTAAGTATAAGTTTTTTTTTTATTTCCATTTTCTCACGTATTCAGTCCATGGTATCCTCATCATCCTTCTGTAGAACTGCATTTCTGTTGTTTCAACTCTTCGCTTCTTCTTTGAGGCGATCGTCCAACACTCATTGCCACACAGAAGGACTCTGATATCACATAACAATTTAGTACTAGTAGACTTTTATTTCTGTGTAATGAATTTGACCCTCAATGAGTGCCCTACACGTGTAGCCTTATCCGGAAATATCTATGCCTGATAATATGTAAATAATCTCTCATATATTTATATGAATAAAATCCTTGTACAAACTCATCTGAAGACAGGGCTGACAATTATTTTTTCTCTAAGCATAGATTAGATATGGTACAAGGCCGAAAGTATGGGACACCCAGTGATGTTTGAATATAACATTCAGTCGTAATTGATCTAAGGAGACAAGCTTGTTAACCATTGCACCACATCGTGGTGTCCAGACAGAGATGCAAATGATTGTAAACATATCCATGTTACGAAGATTACAATAAGATTGCACATAAGAAAGATGGCCACCCGGAAATTCAAAAGCACAAGTTTGGCCAGTTTTGTGGTTATGATAGTTGAAGATTTCCTACTAGTGCTAGAAATCAGCATTTGAATCGAGCTAAAAACCAAAATTTCTTATGCTGATTTTCAAGAAAAGCATCTAGAAGATTGACGTAACACAGTCTTCGCACATTCATTTCTCGCATTTGGCATTGTGACATAAATATGAGTATAGAAAATGTGAATTAAAGCATAATTTATAGAAACGAAATAAATGTTCGCTGTACAAAACTAGCATTTAAAGAGGCTGTGCGATGGAAAAAAAGACTCTCTGTGTCGCTGTGTTGTATCTTGAATATGCTTAAATCGTTTTCAGTTCCATTGTCTTTAAATCTAAATATGATTTCCTTTTAATCGTCTTTATTTTTTCTATTTTCAGATTGGTTTTCTTCAAGCATAAATATGGCACCTCGCCTTCTACTGGTTCTATTCTCTCTCGTCCCAGCTCTCATCGCTGGACAGAAATATCTGGGGGGTGGCTCGATGGCATCTTTCTATCCTTACGAACTGACAGACGACGAAAACGGTGATAGAGGTGGAAGGTTCGTTCACCATTACGACAGCAAGAACGAGGAACATGACGACGATGACGACAACACCAGCAACGAGGTAAAACCGTGGAGAAGACGATTTAACCTGCTGAACACAGATCTGCAGGTGCTGAAAAACATGAAGCGATCGGAAAAGAGACACCGTTTGGCCGATTCGGCTGAAATTGCACTGAAAAGACACCACTCTTACAACCCTGTGACGGAGACCGATGAAGACGACGTGGAGAATACATCGTTGAAGAGTGGCTTTCAAGCAAGCTTTTCTCAGCAGATGAGAAAACGTCCGCAAGCGAACAGAAGACGCCTGTCTCCGTTCACTGATTATCTTTTGATCGATTCCCTACTCAAAAACAAAGAATATCCTGACAGGAGCAAACGATACTGGGACAGGTCCTGTAATTGCTGGAGATGGGCTGAAAATCTGCAGGTGGACCGTCGGCGTTACTCTATTAATATGCCACTTTCAATTCTTTCTTGGGTCGTGGAGAATGCCCAAAAGGAAGAAGACATGGCCAAGACTCGAGAGCGTTTACTAGGATTAGGTCGTAAGTAAATCCACAAAGAAACACAGAAATAATTAAACAAAAGAATCAATAATGTAACAACGACAGAGCCGGGCTTGGAACGAAGATGAAGTTTTAAAAAAAATAAATTTAAATGAAAAGAACTTGAATGACAGTTTTTTGAATTGTGTGCTTTACCTATTTTATTATGACTAAATTATCAGCTCTGTTTTGTCATTGTTTGTGAAAGATTAACAAGCATAAATTCATATTTGCACTTTATTCAAAGGAAATACCAAGCGGTTGATAGAAGCGTGTCGTTCATTGTTTTAAAAGTCAGTTACCAGCAGGCTTCAAATAATAAAGATTTAGTAGAAATAATATTGACAAATACTTTAGATTAAGAACCAAAAGAAATAAAAGTTACTACTATCTCGGCGGCTCTATATATATATATATATATATATATATATATGTATGTATCATCCGATTCATATCTATGTACCTATTGATCTATCTATCTACATAGATAGATAAGATAGATAGATTATAGGTTATACTGGCATAAAAACAGAAGAATATTAAAAACAGTTGTTACCAGATTACTTCAATTTGATTTCTTTAATGTCTAAAATGTATTTTATAGATTAAACAATTTAAATTGAAGACATTTGGTAACAACTTTTAACAATTCATATGAACAACAATTCTACAAATTACAATTTTTAAATTAGAAACTTATGCTTTATCTCTTCTATAGTGAAATTATTTGAGAGTGAACATTTCTATTTTTTTCATAAAGCAGAAAATTTTATATATATATATATATATATATATATTAAACAGAAGATCTGAAGACGTTGCGAAAACAAGAGAACACTACTGACAAACAACCAACATGAACTACAATTAAAAGAATTGGGATGCTGACGAACTTTTTTTCCTTGTGGGTTTGATGTCATTAGCAAACACCTTGCTAAACTGTTTAATCGGAAATAAAAATATTTAGGTTTTGAGCATTGACTAGTTTTGATTCCGTTTGTTTCATACAAAACTTGCATTTATACCATGTTTAAATTTTAACAGTAACATTTTATTTTTAGACATTTTGAAATTTATATCTGGGTGCTAAGGAGAAAAAATAAATAAATAAAAAGAAAGAAAAAAAGAGAATATTGCGACCTGATTGTTGAGAAATTACTTTCTTAGCTCCATATTTTTTTTTAACCATGTCAATGAATATTATGTTGACAATGTTCTAGCAAGGTCATGAGAATGAATAGAAGAGGAAATCGACAAGAGATAGATGCAGAAAAATGCACCTGAAACGAGTTGAAAATGACAGGGAGAAGGCGACAGGTAATAAAAGATTTGCTTCCTTTCTACCGGCGTGCTGAAATAAATTTAAGAAAAAAGAGATGGGAGTTTTTGTTTGCAATTGTTTTTCATGAATGGTTTCAAAACTAATTTAAATTGACTGGAAAGAGTTTTTTTTTTTTTTTTTTGCTAAAATATCTGATTATCTCCCTTTTTTAGTCGTCTTTCATCACAATGTAATTCTCTTTATTAAAAAATCTTTCAAAAATAAAATATACTTTTCTAAAATTTTATTTGGGGTACATTAACTGATTTAAAGAATAATTAATCTGATTTGAAACAAATATTATTTATTTTAAGTTTAAAATATCAAAGAAATGCATTTTTAAAACAAACAGTAGTTGTGTGTTTTAACCGACAGTTACCCTGTTTACATGATTGGCAGATGACAAAATATTGATTGTTGTTCTAAGGAGCCTTTAAGTGGAAAACATAATTTAAGAAATTGAAGTGAGCGCCATTTTTAAGTACTCAGTAATCTGAAAAATATTGGAAAATATTCTTCGTAATGTAATTTTAGGAATGTTGACTTCAAATTTACTATAGCAATCGCTCTTATTTTCTGATAATCTCGTGGATGGTCGTCCATACTAACAAAAATCGGAACGTTTATACACTAAAAAAGTAAATTAAAAATTATTTTAAAAATCTTGGTGCGTGATAATTTGTATTAAGCTTTTCAATTTTGATTAGTAAATATAATTTTCACTTAATAACGATATCACCTAACGCAATTAAAGAAATGCAGGATTTTAAAAGATTTGAAACTATACATTATTATAATTAAAATTTAGAAAAATGAAAACAATTCTTGTAAAAATTTATTATTCATAGTGTCCTTTATAATTTTATTTATCAAGCAATTAAAAGCTTTTCTAATTAAATAAGGTCATAGTTTATTGAATTTTTTTACGATTCGAAGCAGATTTTCAGGAAATGAGTAAAGTTTGAAAAGGAGTCATACGTTTAACTAATAAAACAAATTTTGCAATTTCTCGAAATTTCATTAAATTAAGTGGGGGTGGGGGTAACAATTGTAAAAAAATATATTTTTGCGAAGATGTCCTAAAAAAAATTTCAAAAATAATTTCATTATATGTGAATAAGTACTCAAAGTTTCATGAAAATCCGACAATTATTTGATTTTTGCAAGAATTTCCAAATCAATGCGTTTTTCACCTGAAAAAGGGCGTTAAAACGCAAACGATGAAAAAAAAGAGCAAGATATTTAAGCAAAATTTAGAACGGACTAAAAACTTTGTTTTTATTAAGTTTGGGACCTTTTTTCATCATGCTATGTTTTGTTTTTGATTTTTCAGCAAATTAGTGGAGGTCCCTAATTTAAATTGAGTCCTAGGTGTATTATTTTTTTTTTCAAAAATAAAATATACTTTCCTGAAACTTATTTGGGGAATATTAACTGATTTAAAGTATAATTAATCTGATTCGAAATAAATATCATTTACTTTAAGTTGAAAATATCATAGAAATACATTTTTTTAACCCAACAGCAGCTGTTGACTTGCCAACAGATCTAATGTTGTTCTATGGGGGGGGGGACTTCAGCGCCTTTTTTATATAATTTTTAAGTACTCAGTAATCTTAAAAAGTTAAGAAATTATTCTCCGTAATTTAATGCTTTATTGAATTTTAAGTACTTTGGCTTGAAATTTACTATTACGTTCTTATTTTTTGATAATGTCATAATGTCATAAGAACCGTATCTACAAAAATCGACATGTTTATACGCATACAAAAAATATTCAAAATTCTTTTTAAAATATTGGTGTTTGATGGTTTGTACCAACCTTTTCCGTTTATGATTAATAAATATAGCTTTCACTTAATAATAGCATCTTAAAGGGTGAAATTAATACAAAATATTAAAAGATTTTTAAATTTTATGAATTATTCTAATTAATATTTTAAAAAATTGAAAACAAGTCTTATAAAAATTCATTATTCATCAAAAAAAGCAGATTTTTGGCTTTTTTTTTCTGTTTTTAACGTATAAATATTAAGCGGGGGGGGCAATTTATCGAGTCTTTTATTAGCGTGAAAGAACTTAGATGAAACAGAGTGATCAATAAGATGCTAGTAAATGGTTCAAGTCGTGGTGCGAGAACAATCCTGATTGGTCCTAAAATGCGTTCGATTTTTTAAAAATTTTCTAACACGATCAAAACTAAGATGTGGATCCTATTCGCAAGACACACACTTCACTCTTCGTCGTGGCTCCGATTAGATTCTCCAACAAATTCCTACATCCAAGAAGGTGTAGAACTTTGTAGGAGATGCCTACCATAGAGTAATGATTAGTAAGCAAGTCTTATATTCCATTGCAACTAAGATTACTCCTCAGTAAGTACTGCACCATCGTGACCTTATGTCTGCTGAAGCATATTATCTACAATACATTCTGAGGTCATATCTCAATTTCTTTTTTGGGAGACTACTCTAGAAAGGTTATCTGTTAGTTTCGAGCACAAGCGATTCTTAGTGCATTAAGTCCAATTCTTACTAGGCAAACTAAGCTAACCCTTAGTACCTAGAGTATAAATATTGTTTTGCAGTGTAATAAGTTCGACGCTCATTGCTGATGATGACCTTGCACCAAACTATGTTCAGTTTAGAAAACAAACGTAATAAAACTGTTATTGCGGTCCGACTATACAGGCATGGCAAGCAAGTCACACGGGTTACTGCGAATGCAGTTGGTTCGAGCCTCACTTGGTATTTCATTTTGTGACCTTGTACCTAACTTAGATGGTCTTATTATTATATATATATATTTTTTTTTACGATATACAAGACCCGCGAATCAATTGAGGTTGAGAATTACATTAAGAGGTGATTTATACGGATAGGAGGGGGAAGATCTCCAGGCTTGAACAGGTTAAAATTGTAATCATCGAGGAAACATCCTGTTGGTTGTCTGTTCTACAGAGCAATGGTTCGCAGGAAGAGACTGTTCAAGTGGAACTTACTTCCCATCAATGGAGGGAATGAAGGCGGGGTTGCTACAATGTAAGTGGCATGGTGAGTCCTAGCTGTGAAGATTAGACCTGGCATTATGCAATGTAGTTCATCTGAGCACTTTCCAGCAATAGAGCAGTGAGAGAGACTTTCCATATCCTGCCTTTGAGAGAGAAGTGGAAAATAATTCATCAACCCCCTAGGACTCTGAGACGCTTTTGAACTCTATCAAAAACTGGAAAATGAGGACTGGACCGTTTCCCTACAAGGACACTTTCATTGACCGAGCAGCCAATGCTACCGTCAGTTGAAACTTATAAAATCTATCTCTAGAAATAATTTTTCAGAAGAATAAGTTTCTCAAGTTCATTAGCTTTTATTGCTCTTCCCAATATTGATGGGGGAGTGCTTTCTAACATTCTGTTTGAAATAATGCGGAACTTTAATATGTTGTCAATATTGTCTCATCAAGTTGTAAGTGTTATTCATTTTAATTGTTACTAAATAAGTCCATATTAAAAGGTTAGGAAGGAATCCATGGCCTCACTTCAGAATATTTTCTAAGGTTTGTAAATGAGGCTCTACATCTGATGGTGTATTTATTGCATTTTAAATACAATTTTGGGCTTTACATCTAATGTAAAAGCAAGAAACAAATGAAACTTTTTTTAAATCATTAATATTGTGCTTAAGATTTCGAAATTTTTTATCAACATAACCATCAAAAGATTCCACTACTATCTTGTACGTTCTTTAAATACTATAAGTCATCTTATTAAGGGGGGGTACAAAGCATGTGCCCAAATAATTCAAACCTGAGGAGTTTAGTGACCAGAGTAAGACGGTGAATGTTCTTGGTGAACCTAAAGTAATTCCTTTATAACTCATATAGTGTGACAGGGTGCATTTTCCGGCTGAGAGATGCCATTGCCGTCGTAGTCGATTGTTGACACGAAGGAGTATACATAGACGAAATAAGTGGTACGCGACTCAGTACTTTCCACAGAATGCTGTCCAAACTATCCATCTGCATCCACTGTTGTTTTCCACACTACATTCTGTCGCAATCCTTTCCCTAGGACACACACACACACACGCGCGTATCCTGCCATCCATCTAATTCAGGAGAAATCGAGTAACGTCGGGTGAGGCAACATTGATACGTACCAGTTCTGATACTCGTGTTTCCATTGAAGACGCTTTCGACGATGAACATTAACATGGGTACTCTGACTTTAGTTTGCAACTTCCCATGCTGTGATACATTTCTGCATTCAACTTGATTAAAACTATCTGTATTTGTATCACGTTAACCATTTTGTTGGCTCGTACTTTCTGAGAAAAATCTCCGTTCAATAATTCTTGACCGTTCAATATTATTTCGGAGGCTGGTGATCTTTTTCTTTTCAATCGGCACCCATCACAACCATCCATTTGGGAAATACTATGATCTCTAGTCGTCTGGCGATAACATGTTTGTCTTTACCAAGTTAAATCAAATATTTCTTTTTGTCTATAACACATCAACTCGTATTAATGTATGCAAGCACACCAGCTAATATATCTCTGAACCTGTTACGAGACAGTAGATGTGATTCTAACCACTCACACACACACACGATAGATAGATAGATAGATAGATAGATAGATAGATAGATAGATAGATAGATAGAAAGAAATATTTAAGTAAATGCTCTGTTTATAATAAACAGTATTAAACAACATTCACCGGCCTGAATGTCCGAGAAATTTTCACAGAAAATATGCGTCCTCCGACAGATATCGATCATGTATCCTATACGGAACCGTCATATAGCCTGACGTGCCTTTCACCGATTTGGCCACAGAGGAGCGTTCGGTTAGCAAGGTCGATTTTACTGTCTTTAAAATACAATCTTCCATGATTCTCTCACGTACATTCATATCTGCTCATGGCGTATCCAAATGTAAACAAATGACGTCACACATTATGAAATGGACAAAATCCGACAATTATTTTAAGACATTATTAAACAACGAGATGTCCGAGAATGTTGTTTAATACTGTTTATTATAAACAGAGCATTTACTTAAATATTTGTATCTATAAAAGGAATATATAAACATAAAATGTCTTAAAATAATTGTCGGACTTTTTGTCCATTTCATAATATATATATATATATATATATATATATATATATATATATATATATAGTTTCCACTTACACTATATTTGTGAGTAAAAGTGCTCAGGAATAGAATGTATGTGAATATAAAAGGGGACACTGAGCGGTGACAATCTGTTTCATGCTTGAACGCAATCTTCAGGCCATCTCTCTCTCTCTCAACACTCAATCGTATGCGCATAATGTTAGTTTACAGATTATATATATATATATATATATATATATATATAACGTCATCAGTGTGACTAGACATCCGGTTGCCTCTAGCTAGGATCGAAATCCGACTGAATTGGTGTCAGTCGGAGCTTCTAACCACTAAACCACTAACCGTCGGCGCACGGTAGGGATGAAGGTGGATTTTTAGCATATTTATTTTTAGAAACATGCCCAGTGACTGACAGTGACTCAATTCGCTTTCGTGAAGAGTCTCGCTATATAACTATAATAGTCACTGTTTACCAACCCACACCTCACCCCCAGAGTGCTCAACTGAAATTAATTTCAGGAGCAGATATAACGTCATCCACAGACAGACTGTTTCGCTGTTTACAGCTCATCAGTGTGGCTAGACATCCGGTTGCCTCTAGCTAGGATCGAAACCCGACTGAATTGGTGTCATATATATATATTGTGAGATTAATCTAGAAATGAGAATAAGAAACAAAAAAAAAAGAAACCAGAAAAAATTTAGTTTATAAATGAAGTTTAAAAGAGAATTAAAAAGCAAAAAAATTTAAGTCCTATAATGTCATGAATGGATTTGGTTTAGATGAATATGTCAAATATATCTAGCATATACACACATAGCCATGTAAAAGTTTTATGCCAATTACATAAAATGATTATACACATTTATTTTATAAAGAAGATTGCTTAGCAGTATGCGTCTATTAGCTGTCTCTTTGAACCTCAAGGCAACAAAAGTTACATGGCTTTAGGCAGCTTGAACCTGAAAAAAGCCACACAAAACTATTGGGCCAATGTAAGATCTGAGATGATAAAGTTATGATATTATGTAAAGTAGAAATTGTTCAATCTTATCACCATGTGGGAAAAAGCCATTGCGAGTCATTTTTTTCACTAAAATTTCTGCTGAAACAAAAACAAAGGTTGTGACTTTAAAGGGGAAGATGACTCAACGAGAAATAGCCAGACGGCTGGAAATTTCCAGAAACAGTAACTTGTTTTCTGTCCCTCAAAGATCACAAAATTACCGAGAAAAGCACACTCCAGATTTGAAGGTAAAATTAACAAAAGTAATTTATTTACGCCAATGCATATGTGAGATGGGTAAGATAAGATTGGAGCGTTACGTTAAAAAAATTAAAAGCTTAGAGAGAAATAGACTAAAATATATATTATATATATATATATATATATATATATATATATATATAGAGAGAGAGAGAGAGAGAGAGACAGAGAGAGAGAAAAGACAGAAATAGAGAGAAATATACTGAATGAAAAGATGTGAAATTTGTGAGAGAAAACAGACGATAAGTGTTGTGTCTAAAATGTCTGACAGTGAAGATCCTAACGCGTAACTTCATAAGAAATACAAGCAGACGAAATGGAAACTTATTTTTCAAAGTCATGGAAATACCCTGTGCTGAAATTCGATCAAACGTTATATGAAAATTAACGAAGATGTCAACAATAAAAAGTAAGAAAACAAACAACGCCATTTATTTAACATTGAAGAAAGAAAAACAGAATAGAAAAAATAATTGAAAATCCTACAAGGGAAATAGTTTTTAAAGGAACATGAAATCTACAGGAAAAGTATTGGAAAAATAAAACGACAAAAATCGATGAACAACTCAGTGTTGCGTTTTACTTATGGCTTTCGAATAAAAATAAAATGTGAATTATATAACCATATAATCAATTGTTTCTTTTATCTGCTTATTCGTATTTCTGAGATCGATTTCTCTTTTTTCGACCATAAATTAATCATCATAATTCGGAACTAAAGTATCACCCTTCGATGATATTTGAACTGACATTAGTCGCGTCTGAAGTGAACGCCACCTTACCAATATGGCCACAGAAATAAAACTCGAAGTCAGTCATATAGCTCTATTCGTTTATGACTCTTTTTTTGTTTCACCTCATAATGTCTACTTATAGTCGTGCTAGCAGGTTGAAAATTAATATTGTGCGCTCGAGTAATCCCAGGATATTTCCTCTCCTTCAGGATGGGGCTAGGGTTATTACCGGATGCCTGAGGTGTCACCAACAAAAAAAAAATCCAGTGGGGTCTTGAGCAAATTTTATCCCTAGTTCACATAAGAGTGGGTGTTAGCAATCATTTTAAACTCGACTTTGTGTCACTCGAGTGGGAGTGCTGTTAAATACCTACAAGTTGCAGATGAATGATCTTCAGTTATCTTAAATAAAGAATTGTCATGATAGTTTTGACTATTTTTTTCTATTCATTTCATTGATGATTCAAAACACGTTTCCATTCTATGACCTTCAGAAATAAAAACATAGCCTTCACCTAGATTTGAACTCGCTTTTCACTTACCTGTAACCACGAGATTTAATTACCGGTCGTAGAATGAAACTACTTGAACTGTACGATAAAAACAACGAAAGACGAAAGATAAACAATCAAGAGTTTCACCTGGATTGTCAAATTTGTTGGCCATGTTTAACATTCGTACCCGAAAAAAAAAGCAGTGTATGCAAAGGATGGTTTTTCTCTTGACACCGCTATTAACTGACACCGCTATGTTTATTGTTTTAAAAATGATAATTAGAAGTTTAATAAAACCCAAAGATACGAAAGTGAATCCATACATTTTCTTTCTTCTTGAGAATCGACAACAAAAATAATAAACACTGTGTATTACATTGCCTATTTATTCTATTGTAGTGTTTATTGGAATGGTTGGCAAAACAATAGAATCGAACTTTATAAAATTGTAAATAATAATAATTTCTTTATAGTTGGTTCACATATTTTAATAATTTTGTAAATGTTTATAATAATTTTTCCTTTTATTCTGTTTCCCCATTTTGTCTATTTTCATTTTACTGTGGCTCTAATTTCCTTCTGTTTTCACTTCAAATGAAAAAGAAGAAAAATAGTGTTACAAACGAGATTCGAATTGATCAAATCTCGAACAACGAAAGTGTGACAGAGGTTTTAGGAAATGACGGGAGGCTATGATAGCTAATACCGACATCATTTGATTCGTATTGATGTAGCGTAGGGGTCAGTGGGAGGAAAATTAAAATTTTGCTTTTTGGAAACTTTCTGAAATATTTCACGAATCTTTTCAATTGGCGTGTTTGGTTAAAGCCACAGATATGAAATTGGCGAATAAAAAAGACCGACTGTTGGATTCGGATTATGAAATATGTTTTCTCTCAGTGGTTGACAACAGAAGTACTAATCTCTTTTTCACCAAACCGACTCCCTTGCCATTGAACAAATTCTAAAGATCGATCCTACATTATACTGGAAAGATAACGTTAGGAAGTGACTGTTCATTGGCTTCGCTAAATGCACGGAAATGAACGGAGAAACGGCCGACAGATGGAACCCATTAAAATCATAAGACATCTTCACTATTCCCGTTTGTGCCGTGGCGTAAGAGTTGAAAAAATTAATCTGCTCATTTAACGTTTAATGAATGAAAAAGAAACTTCTTATTGATGATTAAATGTTAAGAGCCACCTGAAATGACCATTTAGATGGAAAATAAACTCTTGTGTGTTTTATAAAGACTTCTACTCCATTATGTATTTGGGTGACTGAGTGCATTCCTCGTACGTACGACATGAGTTGGTAAAGAAGGGTCGTTGTTACTGGCCGATCTTCTGAAATCAGTGACATCAATGCAGGCGTCTTCTTTGTACTACCCTTACTCCTGCTTTATACTAACGATCTGCATAGGAAAATTCTCGGATCGTTAATAAATTTAATAAGAGTAGATTACGTCCACTTCTAAAAACGTACAAATCATTGCAGAGCAGGGTGTCGGGGATGTCCAAAAAGCATTTCCGGGTCACCTGTAGGCCTTTTCTTTTTAGATCACTTTCCAATTTAACCTTATCGAAATCATCAGATTTACTATCGAGGCGTGTGTAAATGATTGCGTCATCAGCATAAATATCAAGTTGAGAACTGATAGACAATAATCCTGAATACATCAACAGTTGACCTAGAGAAAGCCATATTGCTTGTCTGAAAGGTCTCCTGTGATGTTAAATGCTCTTAGCTTTGCCAAAATAGAACGAGAGTTCGAAAGATCGGCCTGTTCACCTGAGTTCTTAAAGACTGGAACTACAGAAGATTTTCAACAAGCAGGAATGCAAGAAGCAGCCAGGCATTTATTGTAGAGTGTAGAGAGACCAGAAGACAGACTATTACAGAGATACCATACTGCACGCTCCGTCCCTCAGCCGGCGAAGGAGAGGCTCCAACGCCAAAGCGTAAAGTAGTGGCGACAGTGGGCAACCCTGACGTACCGACTGAGACAGCGCAAAAACGCGCGACCGCTTTCTGTTCATCTGTACCACAGCACTGGGGGAGCGATACAGGAGGCTAATCCACCTGCAGAAGTCTGGTTAGAATCCGGCGGCCTGCAGGACAGCAGCCAGGTACTGATGGTCAACCCTGTCAAATGCCTTAGACTGATCCAAATTGATCAGCGCGGCTTGCTTGTCGTCTTTTACACCCTCTATGATCGTGCGGATCAGATGCAGGTTGCTCTGAATTGTTCGGCCCCTCACAGCACAAGTCTGCTCAGGTCCCAACAAACTCTCGACAACTGACTGCAAACGCTCCTGCAGGATCTTGGCCAAAATCTTTAATTCTGTGTTTAGCAAATTTATGGGCCTGTAATCATCTAAATCCCGCCCAACACCCTTGCCCTTTTTCAACAGCGTGATCACACCCCTAGAAATCCGACCGGGGATGGACCCCTGCCGGAACCAGTTGTTGAACACCACTGTCAAAATCGGGACAAAAATGTGCGACAGCCTCAAGTACATTTCGTAGGGCAGACCATCAAGTCCCGGAGACTTGCCTCTGCCAACCTTCTTCAATGCCAAGTAGACTTCGCCGTCCGTGATCTCACCCTCGCAGCTAGCCGCTTCAGTCGGCGAAAGCCGAGGAAAGTCAGCTAAATAGCTGCGAAACTCGTCGCCACACTGAGACCAGGCTCCTTGGTAAAACGGCTCTCGAAATGCTGCCGAAACGCCTCGCACATGTCCTCGATCGACCTCAGAGAGCGTCCCTCCGGGGTAATGACCTCGCGAATGTATCGATCGGAACCTCGACAGATATCTTCCTTGCGCAATTCTGCGCCCATGTTCACGGCTTCGTTAGACATCTTGTTTAACCTATGTCTAACTACCTGACCCTGATAGCGCTTGCTAGCCTCACGCTTTAGGGCCTGCCTAGCTACGGCTATCTCTAGGGAATCCCCCCCCCCAGCCACCGCCCGGGACAGACTATCCTCTAGTGCCTTCACCATTTTAGTCTTATCTAACGCGAGTCGTTGGCTGTATTCAGTGGTGAAGGACCTAATCTTATCCTTAAGCTTCTCCCACCATCTACTCCCAATAACAGCCCCAACTAATTCCCGCTGCACTAATTTAGTCAGCTGTTGCTGAAAGTGCCGCCTGTCCAGTAAGGACAGATTGAACTTCCAGTGTCCAGCCATTCTAGGCCTAACACCTAACACCATCCGGGCACAGACGAGTCTATGATCCGAATAGTCTAATCGATGGAACGTAGGACAATCTAGTAAATCTAGGTCGACCCTTCTCACTAACATTCTGTCCGGGTAGCTAGCTACCCGGAGAGACGGCCAACTATTGGTCCACGTCCACATCTCCACCCTCGGATGATCGACCCGGTATCTATCGACGAGCCCAAAATCGCCGATCAGATCAACCAGGCTACGATCGCCCGATGCCTTCCCGCTAGCTCCCCACCCCCTATCTATCTTGGAGTCCAGGGCGGCATTCCAGTCCCCCATTAAGACTAAGCGCGAAGAATCAACCAGGAACGGCCCCAACTGACGGAAAAAGTCGACATGCTCACTCTGGTCGTTGGGCGCATAAACCGCAACGACCTGAAACGAACCACTGCTCACGGCAATATCAGCCACGACCAACCAGCCCTCCGCGTCAACATGAACAAGGTCTACCCTCGCATCCAGGGAACGTCTAACTAACAAGAAAACACCTCTGGCCAGCTGGTCCCCGTATGCTGAATAGACAACAAAGTCGCTAGACAGCACACGAGCATCAACGTCGCAAACAAAGTGCGTTTCCTGAATCGCAGCTACATCTACGCCAAAAGACAAGAGATCACGAAGAAGACGAGCAGCCTTTACTCCGATCTCTCAGGCCCCTTACATTCAAACTGGCTAGCTTGATATAATTTAAGCGTGATCCCCTAAACACAGACTGGACGGAAATCTGCGGGTTTCAGGACCCCGACGGATTGTCCCAGACTTTCTGTGCCTATGTCGGACGTAATTCGTCCCTCCAAGACAATGCCGCCAATGTCTGTAGGATAGGTTAATTTTAGCGCCCTATATAAACAGGGATGGAGAATAACCGGGTCCCTCCCTGCGCACATTAGTGACATTTTTATATTAGGGAACGCGTCCCTGGCCTCCGCTAAGAGATCCCAAACTTTCAGATTCCCCACCCCCGTGTTCCTGATGAGAGTCGTCACACCAGGTGCTTTGGGAAAGTTTCGAGGGTCCTCCGTTGACTTGCCGTCCACGGAGGTACATTTAATTAGCTGTCTTAGTAGAGCCTTCTTTTGCACTGAGGTCCCTTTTCAGAGCCTTTCTGTCCACCTGGCAACTAGCCACCCCCTTAGGGAAAGTTTTCTTTTTCTTGGGAGTGGTTTCTCTTTTTTCCACTGAAGCGGGGGATAGTAAGGGGGAGATAGATTGTAAAACTTTACTGGGGGAAGGGGGGAGGCTTATAGTCCTATGTTTCTCACTGTCCTTTCCTGTCTTAGTTGGCGAGGCAGGATGTGAATGGGGCCTGGGGTGATCTCGGAAACCCTCCATCCTGCAACAATCAGACCTTTTTTCCTTTTTCAAAACTTTCTCCTCTTCCTCTTCGTCTTCCACCTCATCTTCCCTCCACCTTTTCAAAGAAGAAGATCTAGAGGTGGAGGGGACATGACCTCCACCTCCATACCTATGTCCAGTAGCTGGTGCTCAGTCTGCCTTTCCAAATCTTCCTCTAGTTGTTGCTGGTATTGTTGTTGTTCCGGTCGCTGTGCTTTTTGTCGCTGCGCCTCTTGACGTTGCTGCGTCTGTTGTTGTTGCATCTGTTGGCACTGCTATACCTCTTGGTGTTGCTGTGTCTCTTCAAGCTGCTGCCGGGTCTGTTGCTGCATCTGTTGTTGCTGCTCCCGAGAAGGCTTCTGCTTCGGGCTTTGTTGTTTACGCCCCGATGAGACTTCCTGCTGTGGAGATGGAGGAGGGGTTGCTGCTTTGCGTCCCTTCCTGGTCACCTGCTGCCATTCACCGACATCCTTAGGGGTTTGGCCCACAGCTTCCTTTCCTGCTGCCTGTTGTTGAATTGTTGGCTGTTGGACAGTTGATTGTTGGACTATTGGCTGTTTGGCTGCAGACTGTTGCTCAGTTGGTGGTGCCGAGTTCCTGCCAGGCCATTCCTTCGACATATGTCCCGCAACTCCACAAGACAAACAATGGGGCCGCCGTCCCTGCACAACTACAAATATTTTTCTTGCTCCGCAAGTCAAGATATCGGGGATGTCTTTGAAAGTTTCCCTAGTTAAAGTTACATGTACAATGACATCCCCGGTGCATATGCTTGTTTTGCCTTTCGCCGACGTGACATCAGAAACCTGCCCATAATGGGCAAAAAAAGGCTCCCAAATGGTCCTCAGATATATCCATGGGCACCCCATGTAACATTATCTTCGTCTTGCGGGTGCCCATGTACTCTGTAGTCTCACTGATTCCTTCGTGAGAATACTCCCAGCTAGTCCTTTGGCTTCGTCCTCCGTTGCCAGTCGTATATCCCAAATGGCGTTGGATCTTTTGACCAGAATTTTCGGGGATATGTTGAAGGTTTTGAGAGCCTCCTCCATTATTTCCCGGCTGACTTCTATCAACTTCCGGGACTTAATATCTGAAGTTAGCAGTGAGATAGTTCTCGTCTTCACTGCTTCTAACACAGACGGTATTAACCGTATTTCCTTTCCGTCAATAAACTCTTTATATTTTTTTTTTAGAGCCTCGTAATAGTCCGGCCCCTTCTTCACGTTTCCTGACGCCCGTGCGCTTGGAGGAGCTGGCGTTGCTTTCTCTGGGCTGCGGGGAGACACCTCCATGCTGTTGGCGAGGAGGGCTCCCACGTCCAAACACGTAAAAATCTACTAATGCAATATATTTTTTGCACCAAAATCAAAGTGTATTAAAAATAATTCTTCTTCCAATACACAAAAACTGACAAAAAGAGTCACTAATGTAATGCTGAAATAAGTCAAAAAGCAAGTCCGACGGATCGTCAGGCAAAGCTGACTAAAGAGGTAAAGAAAACTGTATACTTATAGGCGATAAACAAAAGACCAAGACCACGTGACCAAACATAAAAAAAAAAAAAACAAAAAAAAAAACAAAAAAAAAACGCAACAATTGGGAGTGGAAGAAGAAATTTATTCGAAACGGCTTAAATGGGAGGGGATGATTTAGAGACAAACACGGGCAAAAACGGTTAAACAAAATTATAATCAGGGGAGACGGGGCCTAATCCAATAACCAAGACCATTTCTAGCTCATCGGACACAAAGTATATCAAAGTATATGAAGCAGCGTTCCGCCCATGTGACATCTGTGTATATTTATAAAAACATGATATACTTTGTGCCTTTAGCAGCGTTTCTTCTTCTCCCTTTGCCAAACCTCTCGCTCTCGTTCCACCATCAATTCACACAAGCTCATCCGCGAAGGAGGCTCGCTGATTTCTCCTATCTCTCTTGCCATATGGCAAGTTAAGTTTTCCAAGCCCTCCTTCCTCATTACGTATCCAAAAGATTTCAGCCGTCTCTTTCTGATTTTGTATAATTTTTTTGTCACCATTTTCTTTAAGACTACCTTGTTGTTTATTCGCCTTGTACATGGAATTCTCAGTATTTTCCTAGAGAACGCCATTTTCGTTACCTCCAGTTTTCTCTTCATCTGTGGCGAGATTGTCCAGCATTTACTGCCATACAAATGCGTTGATATCACATAGAAAATCAGCACTCTCTTCTTTGTTTCTAACAAAGTTCTCCTGTTTCATAGTACTCATTTTTTCATCTTTTGGAATACATCTTTTCGCTAATCTCCCAAAGAACATTTAAATTGATATACAGCGTTGGCCTTTTCGAAAACATTATTTGGCAGAGAAGAGTTATTGCGGCTGATTAAGTTGGTTGTATTAAATTTAGTATAGTATATAATTAGTTTTATTTTTTTACTGGGATCAGTGGGGAATATATGAGTACTTATGAGGTTTTTTAGGATTTTTTTCGTCTTGTTTGTAGTAGGAATGCATTTGATGACAATACAGTAAGTTGATATATTCTTTTTGGTTTATTTTAATGTTTCTAATGTCTCATTTTGTTCATCAACGATGAAATTAGAAAAGTCATTATTAATGAGAGTTTGTTTTTTATTTCAACTATTCTCCCCCATTTAATGACAAATATTTTTGTAGCTCTAGAAAGAAAATATTTAAAAAAAAAAAAAAAACTTTACTGTATCAAATGTTGAAAATTTGTCCTGAAACGTTACAAAAATAATTCAATAAAAAAAAAAAATTTGTTTAGAGTTGGTGCTTAAATTAATTTAATAAAACATTTTCAGATTTGACAGGCGGAAAATCTACAAGGAATATTTAGTTTGAAAAATTTACTAGTAATTTAATTTTTTTAGTAATTTAATTTTTTAATGTTTTTGGTTACTGATGACAAAAGAGATCGTAAAGGAATTGTTATACGAAAAAGATATTTATAATAATATCAATAAAAAGTGTAAATCTTCAGATATTTCTTCCCTCGATTGTTCGTTGATCTGACAATCACTTTTTAGAAAATCAGTGAAAAGAAGTTTGTCACACATTTGAGCGCTCCAAAAATGAAATTGCTTTCACAAGAAACTTTAGAAGAATAAGTATTTAAAAAGCACACTTTTTGTGTATATATATATATATATATATATATATATAAAATAAATAAATCCTAATGAGTCAGGTACTACCTAGGTTTCACAAGATGGTAATACCTGACTCATTAGGATTTATTTTACTTTTGCGCTACTTAGTGTACTGAGAACTCTTCGTTTTAAGTTATTACTCGCTGTTTTTTGTGGGTTTTTTTCTTTCGCCCTGTTCGGAGGTTTCTGGTGCTTTCTTTTTTTTTCCATTTTTCCTCGGATGCCAATTTATTTGAAAATTATGCTATCAAGGTTTTTCCACCCACCGAGTTTAAATAGATTTACATATCATTCTATTGGCTCTTCTAGTCAGTTTCTTACTCAAGGGAAGAAACTCTTTAAAATTAAAATAGCATTACATCTCTGGAAATGGAAAAAAATGATTTTAATTGTTTTTTTCTGAATACTAACGTGTAGTTAAAAAATGAAGTCTTTAAGTTTCATTTACAAAATTATCCATTTATCTGCGATGTAAAAAATATCTGCGAGATAAAAGGATGTACCACAAATAATCTATGGTGTTTTTTGTCAAGTTTAAAATAGCAGAAAATTCTATTCTCAGTAACGTCATCAGAAGAGTCCAATACAATTTAATAAGCAATTCAATACCATCTCAGATATTAAAAGAAAATAGAATTTAACAGAATTTTACTTCAGCTTTTTTTTGTATGTCTGAGGATATCATTACTAAAAATCTTTCTCTAAGATTTTTAAATAAAATATTTTCCTTATTCCATCTACTCGTAATATCACCATTTTGTTGCTGCTTAGAACATATTTGTCAAAAATGTTCCTTGGTTCCCAAATTAACCTGCCAAAAATCAGCTTGTTGAACTCTCTGCTTTCGGGCAGAGAGAAATTCCGACGTGGCTATGCCTACAGGCAGGGTCTTGTTTGGGAAGAACAGGTAGCCACCAGACCTCGGGTTCTACGGGGAAATTTTGCCGGAGCGTACGCACTCGGAAAGCCCCACGTTAAAAACCGGCCATGTACCACACCCTGCCTTGTGGGGAGGTCGCGGTTAAATACCGAGAGAGAACAGAGAGAGAGAGAGAGAGAGAGAAACTTCATACACACCCGCGCTAACCATAAAGGCTACTCAAAGCACGGCTGACTGCCCGTCCGACCATTAGGCTATGAAAACGACCTCCTGTGAACACAGAAAGAGAACGGTTTCCACAACGTGACAAACCCAAACCGATAGCCAACAAGCAAGTCAGCTGCCTTTAAGCATACTCTTTTTTTCACGCTCTCATTTCACACTTCATACATCGTACATTCGAACGCTAAACGATACGATTTACTAGAGACATTTTCATAACTTGTAAATGAAAATAAATCTTTGGCCATTTCTCTAAACCAGTACCTAATTTGTTTCTTTACTCTAACCAACTTCCACCTCGGATCAATCTTGCTACAAGGTTATTCTTTCTAAATCGTCTTCGAGGTTATTCTCTTTGTAAATATTCTACGAGTTTCTTTTTTCTAACTCTTCTAAGAGTTTCTTCATTCTGAATTTTCTGCGAGGTTATTCGTCTTTTTGAATTCTCTACGACGTTATAATTCTTTGTACGAGATATTATTCTTTCTAAATATTCTGTGATGTTCTTTCTAAATTAAACTGTAGGGTCATTATTCTCTCTTAATCATCTGCGAGGTTATTTGTATTTTTAATCTTCTACAAGGTTATTCTTCTTTCTAAACTTTCTACAAGGTTATTCCATTTTCTAAATGTGCTGTTAGGTCATTCTTTATTCTAAATCTGCGAGGTTATTCTTCTTTTTGAATTCCTACAATTTGAAAACTGAAAGATATATCATATGAAATCATTGTATTCAATAAGTATACAACATCAAAAAATTAAGATAATAGAAAAAACATTGTATTTATGGTAATGTCCGTGTGTCGATGAAGTCTCCAGCACTCGCATAAGTTTCTTGCGGATTTGAAACTGTCGCCTGGATGGTTTTAATTCTTTCTCGAATTTCCAGTTCATTCGATCTTTTCACAAAATTAATCGGAATTATTTTTTATCTGATTGCTAGCTTTAATTATTGCTTTTTTATATTCGAAATGTTTTTGTCAAATCAAACGTTTTTGGATTGAAATGCTTTGTTTCTGTGCAGAATAAGAAGATAGATTCAAGAAACGAACCAAATATCTCTGTTAGGTATGATGTCAACTATCAAACATATTCTGTCTACTTTCCTGAAAAAAAAAAGATGAAATTAAAAAAAAAAAGAATCAGTTGCGTAGCATCCCACGTAGTATTCAAGAGATTGAAATTAGCATAAAGGGTAAAACCCAGTCGAAGGGGAGATAATCGATGAACAAAAGTCACCTCCCATGGAAGATTCTTTTTGCTGCATTAAACGAAATATATTGATGAGAATGTGTGACAATTTTTGTCGGAATTTTTAAAATGAAGATATTTAAGCGGAACTCTTTATATCTGCAGAAAAATGTGAGATGCTTCATTATTGATGCCAATGGAAATTTTTCAATTGTCATTAATTGCTGCATTATGTCGAGTCCATTTCAATTTGATATTTTTTTGTCAGATTTATTCTTTATATAAAGAATTATCCTTATTATTTGCTTTGCAATTCGGAAAAGTCATGCTCATCTTGGTTGTTATACTCACAACGTTTCACTCTCCGGCCTGCTTCAGATATCTATCTTCATGCCTCCGTGAAATTCACGCTGTACAAGGCCCGGGCATCACTCGAGTTAGAGGGTTACAGACTAAGAGGCACAGTTTATGCGGGTGTGTGGGGATGATAATTAAATTAATCCTAGATTGAACAGGTTAAAAATCAGGAAAACATGAGAGTCAGTTCTACAGAGCAGTGGTTCACGGGAAGAAAGTGTTCGAGTGGAACTTACATCTCGTCAGTAAAATACGAAGGGAATGAGGGTGATGTTAGTTGAATGAAAATATGGAATGTAGGTCTTCTGATCACTTCCCACAGAAAGAGCAATCGGAGCAATGAGAGGCTTGCGATGTTTCGTTTATGAGAAACGGGCTATATAGGGTGGAAAACAATTTGTCACCCACAAATATGGGAAGAGGCTTTTGAACTTTTATGACATTCCAAAGTTATGACAGTAGCTGCTGCCCATATATGGCAGCAGT